ATGCTCTTTCATACTCCCTGCCCCCTCCTCAATCCCCACACCCACCATCTTTCTGAGTCCTGCTTACTGAACAGTTTACTCCCTGGGTTAATCATTCATCCACCTGGCTGTTCCATGAGCAGGCTTGGAATGCTAGTGCTTTAACCCCAACTGACCCACAGAGCCTGTACCTGAAAAGCCCTCACTGGAGCTTTTCAGAGTTAAAAGGGGTGCTGAAATGATACTCCCCTTAAAAACATCCCTACCTTTGCTGATGTGCCCAGATCGCTAATATTCTGCAATTGAAAGGATCGTTATTAGTTATTTACACCTCTTAGTTGTGTTTCCCCACGTGTTGCTAGGAAAACAGAGCTACAGAGGACAACTAACTCGGCACCACTGACTACAATATTCACCCATCATGCCCCAGGACTGTGAAAGGATTCCTTGCCTGCACAGGCTTTGGGACTGGAAATTCAAAAACAGTTTTTCCAATTTTCTTATTATCCAAGTGAGAAAACTGAAGCAAAAAGAAGAGAAGCCATATATCCAAGATCACACAGCTGCTCCAGTTCTGAGGCAAGATCAAGGAATTGACCTCCGAATTAACCCTCGCCTATCCACAGGCCCCTTTGTCAAAAAGCATTCTTTACAAGCAGGATTTGCACTGCCTTGCTGGGTCTCCCAGGAGACAGAGAGATATAGTGGGAGTGTGATTTTGTTGGTAGCTGACGGTGGGCTCAGCATTCAGATCTAAGGAATAATAATGAGTCCTCACTCTCCTGGATCCCAGCTAGGCACTTCCACAAATACTCCCTCACTGACAATGAAGACAATGGAATAATGGAATAATGGAATAGAAATAAAAAAAAAGCATAGGTAGGGATGAACATGGGGAGGGAAACAGGAAGAGAAAGAAAGAGGGAGATAGAGGGAGAGAGAGGAGAAAAGAATAATTTTCCAGCTGTTCAGTAAGTGTTCTAATAGTCCAACTTTTGGAATTAACCTTCTGCCAGAAACCTAAGACTCTAGGTAGCAATGATAAGACCAGAAGTGGCTGTTCAGGGGTACTAAGCAGATAAACTCAGTTGGCATACCTAGACTCAGCACCAAACACTGTTATCGGGCCAGTATATTACGTAGGAAAGGTCTACTTTTCATATTTCTACTGGTTCCTTTGCCCAGGCTAAATGTTTTGCTTTTTAAAAAATTTTATTGACAATTATTTATATACACAAATGTTTGGGGTGAATATTTGCTACAATTTAACTTTAGTTAATAAAAAAGAAAAGGCCTGTGACTACAAAGGCCAACATTTTATGATTTTTATGAAACAGTTATAATTTCTCAGAAATATAATTATCAGACAAGCATCTTAATTATTTCCTATATTGGAATCATATGGCCATTATAATAGTGGCAAAGAGGAAATGATTTGCATATCATTACACCTAATAAAGGTAAACTTGATTTATGAAAAACACTAAGTTATTAAAATGCAAATTATGAAACTGCCTCAGTGAAATGAAAGACACATTAAAAGTGTCTCCAGAGGCAGTATACTGAAACAGATAACCATTCAGATATGTCACCTTTTCCAATAGGCCATCGTTGATCACCTGTAAGCACTGCAGAGTTAAAAACCAAGAAATCTCTATTTAAGATGAAGTGATCTAGAAAAGGAAGTGTACTCTCTTTTGAGAGTAAATTATGATAATTTAGATACTTTAAACAGTTTTATGGAAATACAATTCACATATCAAAAAATCCACTTGTTTTAGGCACATGAGTTTTAGCATATTCATGGATATATGCAACCATAACCACAGTCAATTTCAAAACATTTTCATTGTCTGATAAAGAAATACCATGCCTTTTACGACATCCCTAGCTCTCCATCCTGGACCAAAGCAACCATTAATAGTATTTTCTGTCTCCAAAGACTTCCCTATATGTTTTCATATGAATGGAATCACATAAAATCATCTAAGTGGTCTTTTGTGGCTGGCTTCTTATGCTTCTGATAATGTTTTCCAGATTCACTGAGTCTGTCACAAGAATCAGCATTTCATTCCTTTCCGTGGCTGAATAATAACTTAACCTATGGATATATATGGTCATGCATTGCTTTGGGAGGCAGAGACGTTCATAGTTAAGTTTATCCATGTTGGAACATTGTAGAGTTTGCTTGTCCTTCCTAAGATGGCTATATAATCCCTAGGGATTACTGTCACATTTGACTTTAATGTCATTAAGCCACTATGGAACTATATTTCATTTATCCATTCTTCTGTTGAAAGACATTTGTCTTCTTTTCATTTTTTTATTCCCTTCTTGATGTTGTCAATTCAGATAGTTTTGAAAAGTACAAGAAATGCTATAACCCTAAATAGTATTCTTTAAACACTGTTGTTTTTCATATATTGGAGGATATGAATTTGTAATCGTGTTGTTTTTATACCACAATAGAAGTAGATCAGACCATTGTGTTTTAAGCCACAAGAAAGACAACGACTTTCCATTTTTGTAACAGTGTGACACGTGCCACATGATTCACCCTGGGTCTTAATGACCTAATGCATAGGAAGTGGGATGGACCTGAAATGTTGGTTTTAAATGTTGGTTCTATCACAGTGGAAAACTTATTTTCAGTGAAGCACTAACTGACATCTTAATTTTAAGGACATAAAATGATTTTCAGTTATATAAATTGTTTAAAAATAAAAATTTTTTTTTTAAATTTTGTTAACTTTCAGTGAGCATGTAACTAATTAGTATGAATGTGAACACCCGAAACCCAATATCATGAGTGATTGTTACAGTCTTACATCAGTGTCAACATTCAGTTTGGTTCTGTGTTCTGTGTTAATTTTAGAACATTCTGATATTCAAAATAATTCAATGAGCTTTTTTTGGAGGGGGGGATTAAATGAATTCCTGAAATACGTGTCTTGGAATCTCATAGTGTTTTCCATTTATCCTTTTATAGCATTGTTTTATTAGGCATACTCTATTGTAAAATATAACCCTTTAAGTTTGCATAAAACATTCGTAAAACTCCTGAAGCATGTCCCAGGTTGTCATGTGCATAAGCTAACCATTGACTGCAGCACTGTTAAATAGCTGGTGCCCAGACTCCCTGGAATGATTTCTCAAAACTCTGGGCTTGTGGAACTGCTTGTGGCTACTTATTTGGAAATTCTCACTGGATTTCCTTCATTCTTCCTGAAGAAAGAACGTATGTAACAGGAGAAAATAGCGCACAATGGGAACCAATCCTCAACTGACATACACCTTTTGGCAGATATTAAGGTTCCTCTTGAACTCAGCTGCCTCAGCAATCTTGCTACACAGGGCAGAAACGGCCCCATTTGGAAACTACAGGAACTTTGAAAAGACACATCCTCCGTGACTCCCCACCCCCGACTCCCAATCCTTGGTCCCAAAGGTGTCTGCCAGCTTGTCCAACTTGAATTTGCATCTCTTGTTTCTGTCATGAAGAATCCTCAAACAAAACCTTGGGGTGGGGATTTTTCAGCTTTGGGGTCTTTTAAAATGCTCCAATGTTTGTTCATAGAGTTGCCTTGTATGTGACCATTCTAACTAGGACACAGGGAGGGTAAAAGGTGGAGCCCTGAACATTCCACTTGGGAGGACAAGGATGAATCAGACTGCTGCCTGGAAGCCAGGAGCCACTCTGCTTAGAACATTCCTTGCCCTCTGCAGGCCACAAAAGTAGGCCAGAGAAGGTTAACAACGATTAAGCTAGTAAAATAGTAAATGTTTCTCTGATGGATCTGTACTGTTTTAACCATAATTTAAACATTCAACCTTTTAAACTAACCATTTAAAGATGATTTTGAACTGTAGAATGGTCATTCAGTCTAAGCAGCATCAAATATGTTAGGAAGAAAAAAAACCTTTTTGAATTTTATATGCTGAGAATACACAGATAAGAACGCAACATAAATATAGGGGACCATTGTCACGGCACAGTAAGTGAAGCCATGATTGGCAATGCTGGCATCTCATATTGGAGTCCCAGGTTGTGCCTTAGGACTGCCCTTCTTCCAATCCAGCTTTCTGCTCATACACCCAAGAAGACTATAGATGATGGTCCAAGTACTTGGGTCTTTGCCATCAGTGCGAGAGATCCAGATGTAGTGCCAGGCTTCTGACTTTGCTGTTGCCTCACTCTGGTTATTGTGGTCATTCATGGAATGAACCAGTAGAGAGAAGATATCTTTCTCTCTTTTAAATAAATAAATAGATCTTTAAACATATACATACCTGGGCATTATGACTGCCTTATGAAATGTGAATTCTATTTTGTACAGTTTATTTCAACTACATCAACATAAAAGAATTATGTTTTACATTCTTGGTATATGTTGCTTGTAGATAAAAATTTTCATGCTCTTTTTTTTACTCCATCTACTGTATTTTTTCTTTGACTTGTCTGCTTGTATTATTTATTTGATATTTCCTGAGAGACTACCAAAATATCTTTCCTTCGTCATTGTAATTCTATCAGTTTATTCTTCATATTCTAGGACTTAGAAAAAACATTAAAGTTACAAATGCCTGCTTCAAACTACATTTTATGAAGCTATAATAATCCTTAGATTTCCATCCCAAGATTTTGCATCCATTCCTTATACCACTGAACAGTTTGGGGCTGGGATTGTTTCTAAATCTACTAACCAACATTTTTGTTTCATATCTAGACATTCTTACCTAACCCACATGCATTAATGTTCTCCTATAACAGTTCATTTTTAGTATAATGGAAAAAAAAACTATAAGTAAAGTATTCTCGATTTTAAAAACTCAAAATATTCATGGGAACAGGATGGCTATTCATGCTTTGGCATTGAAAACCTAAAGGAGTTACTTGAAAAGCCTAACACAATGCTGAGCTGGTTGCTATTTGTTCTAATAATGAATTCCAGAGATGACAGTACCATTAGGGCGACACTTGGTAGACTTTCCTGCCTTTCTGTGACTTAAGATGGACTCACCTCCTCCAAATGGGCCCCATATCACTCGGCGGATGGACTTCACCCAGTCTTCCATGTCATTCTGGGTGCTCGCCATGAGGAGGTAGCTCTCATGATTGCTTGTCATCCGCTCCCGATCACCTCCTGTGAAATTGAAGACAGAGACACAATCAGCCAAAGACTTAGCCACCTGTATTTCATCACCAGTCTCCAGGGAATCCCTGTGATGCACACGAGGCCCAGCATAACCAGCACAAGGTTTGATCCACTGATTTGGAAATCGATACCAACACGGTGGAAAGAAACACCTACTTACCAAGGAAAAGCTCTTTTATCTCTAGGAGAGAGCTGGAGAGCCAATGTCACTCCCCGAACACAGCCTGGGATTTTTGTCCTAGCAACCATCCATGGGCCTGCATTAACTCATAATCCAGTCTATTCACAACAAGCTGCTGAATAGGGAGAAATAGAAAAAAAAAAAAGAAGAAGGCTGGAGAAGGTGGGAAAGCAGTACAAACAAGCCTGGATTATGAGCTGAGGCAAGGACTGGACAATCTGTGTATGGCCTGCTGCTCACATAGTGAGGCAAACACTGGAAGGTTGTGGTAGTGTATCAGTTCTAGAAAAGGGTTAAGAGACTCATGCCAACACTCTGGACCCAGAGGTCTTTTCTAAGTCTGGATCCTGGAAGAGAAACCTCATCCCCAGGTCACCTGAGGGGAAAGAGGAGAAAGGCAAGAAGACTTAGGTCCTGCCAGCCACAAAGGCCAAGCTAGCTTTCCAATGGCCTTCACACCTGAGGGGCACGTACGAAATTCTAGCAGTGTCTCCACTGGAAAGGTTAATGATTTCTCCAAAATGCCTTCTCAACGAAAACCTGACACACTTAAAAACCTTTATGATATCTAAGATCAACCTTGAAGCACTGGACTTCCAAAGCATGTAATTAAATTACGAGGAAATCTTTTACAGCAGATTGAAGTTTCCCTGGTTACTTAACTTGCCCACTTACAAAACAGGGATAAGCCTATCAGACTGTGAAACGACTTGAAACACAGTCTCCCATACGCTTTTCAAATTTTTTTTATGTTTAACAGAATATTTTTGAGGACAACTATCGTGGATTATATTACCTTAGTACTTTAGAAATTAAGGTTGCCTCATAAAAGGAAAAAAAAAGCAATAAAAGAACAGAACAGTAAGTATTTAACTGAATTCGGTTAATATGTTAATATTATACTGACTTCTTCAGGTACTCAAATCTCTACGGACATTTAATTTTTAGTAACTGTTGTAAACTTACAGCCTTGGCTTGCATTAGCTAATATCTGAATGTTGTGTTTGGCTAAGGTACTGCAGTTTCTTTTCTTGTAAGTAGATGTTAATACTGTTATGGGGACTTGCAGGCTACAATCTACAAACATTACCACTCTCCAATCTTTCATATTTCATACAATTTGAAAGCTACAGCCATGGGAGTCTGGGCCTCTGAGTGCTAAATGAATGCTCTAGATTCAAAAGGACATCTGTTCTGCAAATGTGTAGTATAGGTAAGTCAATACAGGGACTTTAAGCCATTCAGTGAAATAACGGAAATTGGTGTTTTAAATTTATCAATGGAACTTCAATGTGAAGCTAAATTGAATTAAATGACTAAACTTATTTATATGCAAAATCTTTTGTAACTCATGCAGAATGTTTTCTTCTTGCATTTTTTCTTTCTTTCTTGCGTTTTTATGAACTTCTTGATGATTTTGCATACAACTAGAGAGCAGAAGGAGGGGCCAAGCGACCACATTAAATGGGTTTTCTAATGCTTACAAATCTCTCGATCAAACAAATTGAGCCATCTTTCATCATGCAGAACATCTCACAATCAGAAACAATGCCAATTTTGCATTTAAGTTCCCCTTACATCAATAATCACTAAGCAAATTATATCTGTAGACACCTGGCTTCTGGACTAAAAGAAAACCAAGCTAGAATTGCACTTGTTATTTTTTTCTTAAAGATTTATTTAATTTTTTTAGAAAGGCAGATACAGAGAGAAGGAAAGACAGAAAAGATTCTCCGTGTGTTGATTTACTCCCCAAGTGGCCAGAACTGCCAGAGCTGAGCCGATCCAAAACCAGCAGCCAGGAATCTCCTCTGGGTCTCCTATGCTGCATAGGGTCCCAAGGCTTTGAGTCATCCTCCACCACTTTCCTGGGTCACAAGCATGAAGCTGGAAAAGAAGTAGAGCAGCTGGGATATGAACTGCTGCCCGTATGGGATCCTGGAACATGCAAGGTGAGGACTTTAGCCACTAGGCTACTGAGCCAGGCCCTGCAGTTATGTTTTATACTAGTTCTCATACCTACACATAAGGTATGTAAAAATGCTAATACTGTGTCTGGTTAGGACATAAATCCTGCAAATACGAATGGCATCTCATTTTACTATCTCCTAGACAATGCCGGGAAGCAATTAGACAATGTTGACAAGTAACTGGCTTCTTTCTTTGACATGTACATAAATATCAGTGGACTTTACAATTCTATACTCCCCATACATACTAATATACTACATACAAATCTGTATATGACGTACATATGCTAGGAGTAACCAAATGACAAAACACAAATGGGGCTCACTGGTACAGCACAGTACTGAAAGTTGATTCTGTATTCTTACTTGCATACATCACATTACTGAGCCATAAAAATTCTACCCCCTTTGAAATCAGAATGTTTTAATTATTCTTACTGTCTGAAGGACGCTTAGCAGTTCAAACAGCAATATCCTGCTCTGCCACTCACAACCCAAGCAGCAAGCAGAAAGAGCCCACGTAATGAGACTGACAGCCGCTAGAGCGTTTCTGTCTGCAGGCAGAGGGAAAAGAGAATGAGATGCACAACCAGTTATTATCTCTTGGAGTTTTCATTTGATTCGTTATCTTTGCCAGTGATACTGTATGTGTCTGGCTCTGACTCTCATTTAGACTGCCAGTCACAGATATGAAATCCCATCTGTGGATTTCACCCATGAACATGTCTTGATTTCTTAAGCGAGGGAAAAATGACTTAGGAGAATTTTTTTGTTGACTCTTGGTGACAATACAGACTTATTACCAAACATGTGAAAGACAATTATGTGAATTTATGTTGTCGCCACAGGTAGAAATTCAGTGTTTTGAGGATAAAACTCTGCTGGAGTATTTGCATATAGGGCAATACTTGACCAAAAACTGATGCCATCAGAGGCAGATGTTGTTCTAAAGGTAACAGGTTCAGGTGTTGGATGTCATCACAAAAAGTCGGCAGGAGCCAGAGAAGGACCTAGCTAACCAGCAGCAGGTGTCTGAGAATGGAAACTGTAGGAGAGGATCATGGTTGGCAAGGCTGGAGCCTCAGGCAACACACATACCTAAGGTGATAAGCCTTGGGTTCCACTCTCCACCTCTCGCTGGGTTAGTGATGGTTCCCTTGAGGACCTTCTGGCTGGGACTGAGATTGGTCAGTAAAAAGCAAAAACAAAAACAAAAAAAACCCCACAAAAATAAGACCTACAGATGAATTTGGGTTGGAATGAATTATGGTTCCTGAAATAAATAAAAGCTGCCAGAAATGGTATTGAGTTGTTCCTCTCTCTGAGTAAAACACTGCCCACTTTCAAAAACTCCTGTCTGTCCTTTGTTTTCTTGTAATGTGTCACTCACTTTCTGAACTTATGTTCGTGCCATGCTGGTTTCAGCAGTTGCGGTCTCCCTGTTCATAAGGTAAGTTTCTCATGGTCTGGTTAGCCTTGGTCTGAAAGGACAACCCCAGAAATAAACAATTCATGATTTTTAAATAGCTTTCATTAGAGTGTATCATTATGGTATATGTAATTTTGCTATTGTTAATCAGTTTCTGCACTAATGGCACTAATGGCCAATTAAAATTTATCATTACATGTGTACATGAAGGGGAAATCATACATTCTGATTTTGGGTTTGTAGTAGGGCTCTTGATACATAATCACTACAGATAATGGGTATCATTACATGGACATGAACCACTGACACTGTACGGTAATATGAAAACAGTGCTTCCTAATGTGAAGAGTCATCTCTGTTTTTTAAGGATTTCTTTGTTTATTTGGAAGTCAGAGGTGGAGGAGAGAGGTGGGTTGGGGGAGAGAGAGAGAGTGGGAGGGAGGAAGGAAGAGAGAGAGAGAGAGAGAGAGAGAGAGAGAGAGAGAGAGAGAAATACTCTATTTGCTGTTTCGCTCCCTAAGTGGCAACAATAGCTGCAGCTGGGCTGGACCCAGTTCAGGAATGGCACTCCCTCAGAGTCTCCCTCAAAAGGAGAGCAGGGGCCCAAGCACCTGGACCATCTTCTGATGCTTCCTGGGTGCACCTGCCGTCCTGACTGCAGGTTTAGCAGCTGAGACTCAAACTAACACTCACAAGGGTGCTGGTGTCCAAGGTGATGGTTAAACCCCCATGCCAGAAACACAGCTCCTGGGTGCCATCTCTTCCAATGAAAAACCCCTCACTTAATAATGATGATGATGATGATTATTGCTGTTGTTGTTGTTTAACTGAGGGACAGAGAGAAACAGACAAGGGTAGAACTTCCACACTTGGGTCACTTCCTCTGACAGCTAGGACTTGGCCAGAGCTGGGAATTGAACCCAGATTTCCCTCCTGAGTGGTAGGGACCAAGTTATCTATCACCTGCTGCTTTCCGAGGAATACATTAACAGAAAGCTGGAAGTGGAATTGCAGCCAGAACTCAAACCTAGGCATTCTGATATGAGATGCAGGCATTGTAATTGGTCAAATGCCTCAGCCAAACCCACAGTTCTAAAAGCCTAATATTTTACCTAAAAATTGAAGAGGCTCCAAAATACGTGTTTTAATGCTTTACTTAGCAATTTTCATTAAGAAAACCTGGATGTGAAATTTAAAAATACAGTACTGATACTGATCAATGGTTTCAACTGAATGTTTCATAGCCCTCCTTAATCCACATATAATATGCATGTGAGTATGTGTATTATAACATATTATGAAAGCCAAAATACATTTTCCATTCTTCAACTCTTGAACATAAATATAATACAGTTATAATTTTAAAGTATTAATTTAAATGATGGTGTACTGGAAATCAGTATGGAGA